TTCTAGATTTTTTTATTATATAAAAGATTATTTACATATTTTTTTATATATTAATATTTATAAATATTATAATTAATTATTTTAAAAAAATTGCATGATCTTATCACAATAATATGTGATCACAGTTACGCCCTACCCAACGCGGTGGTAGCGCTAAATATGGCTAGCTATATAAAGGAAGGGGCATCAACCATTTGTTAGGTTCGAAGGGAAGGAGTTGGGGTTTTTTAAAATAAAATTTTAAATTTAAATTTTATAAATGAAAAAATATATATTGAAAAAAAATTTCTAAAAAGAAAGTTCACTGTAATTAAATTTTAAATTAATAAAAATACAACGTACTTACCAAAAAGTTACTAAAAAATATATTTATAAAAAAAGGAACCACACTGGTCACTCCTCCTCCGGATGCATGCATGCTGTCAGTTTCGAGAACATTTATTCTGACAAGGGAACCTTCAACCAAATAAAGAAACAGTCTTCATTGATTTTTTTTACCTAAATAAAGAAAAAGAAAAAGAAAAAGAAAATGCGTTATTTACACATACCAAATTCATGTATCCTTGAAAACGAGATTTTCATATTTGAGATTTTATGTTAGAATTTTAGATAGAGATTGGAGAGGTGAATGTAAAACGTGCACATAAATTGAAATAAATTTCAAAAAAAAATATATTGAGATTTTGAGAGATTATTGCATAACTTTCATTAAGGGCTATAGGATTTTAGTTGAGAGAATCACAATCTTTAGATGTAGTATTAAAAGTCTCACATCCATATTTAAGGTAGTAGTTAGGGCATTCGGTTGGGTAACTGAATGGTTACTTGAAAATCGAATCAAAAAAATGAATTTAGTTTGGTTTCAGTGATTTTTGAATGTTATTGTTTCAGTTTTGATATTAATTAAATAAATTTTGGTTCGGTTTTAATTTAAGTTTTTACAAATTGAAAACCAAAAAGAGCCACTTGAAAATTGAAATTTGATTAAATATAACAAAATATGATAAAATATTGCATGAAATATAATCTATTATTGGAAAAAAAAAACTAATTAATGTTTATTTGATTAAAACCGAAATCAAACCAATTTTATTGGTAACCAAACCAATTAGTTTTGAAAATTTTGATTTAATTTCGAGAGAAAAAATTTTTGGTTAATTCAAAATCGGTTTCGATTTTAACCAAAACCGATTTTTGCTCACCCCTAGTAGTAATTGTCTGAATTGATATATTTTTTTAATTCATATAAACAAATACTTACAAAGATTTTATGGACATATATATATATATATGCAATTTGGTAATAGTAATGATACATGAATAATTTTTTCCATAATATTTTTATATAGTATTCATATATTATTACATAAATAATATATACAATATTATGAGTCTGAATAGAGTGAAAAGAATCAATAATTAAAAAAAAAGTAAGATTGTATGAAAAAATTATGCAAAAAAAGTTGTTTGTCAATTATTTTTCTATGCAATTTGAGAGATAGCAAGAGAATGAGGATACAAAAAGTAAGACATCCTAACATCTTGATATTAAATATTGAGACATTCAATCACAACCATAAAATGTTGAAATATTCAATCACGGGCATAAAATATTTGCGACAAAATGTAAATCTTACCTAAATTCAATTTATCATGTAGTTAAAATTAGATGGTTTGTTATTTTCAGCATTATTATGTTATAACATTTACTTTTCTAAGAGATAATTTCCCATAAAATGAAAAAAGGAAAGGACGAGAAAAGAAAATAATTCTATGAAAAGCAACTTAAAGATAATTTTCTTTTCATAAAAGAAAAATTATGATAAATCAAAGCCATTCATAGTAGAAAATGAAAATATAGCCATTCATGATAGAAATTAATGAATGACTATTATTTTGTGTAAAATATTTTTTATAAGATATTTTATGTAAGAATTG